AAAGGAACGATTCTGCAACCAGACCTGAAGGTAATTCTGAGTGTTATCAATTCATGGTTTTCCCTACAGATATTTGGGTTGGCAACACGAAATGAACTGTCTATGTAAATTATGTCATCCATATCAGTTTATAAGCTTACCAAGAAGATTTGTGTGGAGCAGTTGCACAGCCTCTTCGTCGTGACAACGGGAATGCAAGGTCAGCTACTCAAACTGGTGTTGAGTCACAACCATTGAAGAATGGCAAGCAGAAATATACTAAACACCAGCCTAATGAATTTTTTGAGAATCTCAAAGATATTCTGTCAGGGTCCATGATCTCAGATTGTCACTCAATTGTTCCAGATATTGCAACTGCAGAGAAGATTGGTGGATGTGTCATTGATTTTCAAATATAAAGTTTATGCTAATCTAGTTCAGGATCTTCATTGAGACTGTAGGGTAATGGCTAATGAGCTCCCAACTGAAGGGTTTTTTGGTCTGTATAGTTGGCAGCTGAGTTTCTAGTTGGAGAAGAATACAGATTTCCATTGCAGGAAACAGTTTTTGCAATAAAATTAGTAGCCTAGAGCTTTTCTTCTTCTCCCTTTGAGCGCGTGCGTCTGGTGGGGTTGGCTGATAGGGTGGTCCTTAGATTAGAGGGACCATAATTTTGTGTATAAACTTTCCATGCATTAGACTTCATTTGCATGTGTGTAGTTGCAATTTCTTTATTATTTTTAGATACAAGTGATAATCTAATTTTCGGAGAGGGGAATTCGAACTTGGGTATAAGGAGATGGGCTCACTGTCCTAATCCACATTTGCGTGTGTAGTTACAATTTTTATTGCAACATGATGGCTACGTGATCTATGATTGATTGATAGTAACCATCTTATAAGGAACCTGAAAGTTTTGAAATTAAATGATTTTATTAATCTCAATTTGGAAAGTATAAATTATCTTTACAAGATTGGTAACAAGCTAATTATAAGATAATTACACTCAATTAAGGGATAAAAAGATATCCTAAATAATTATTATACAATTACCCTGTGAGAGAGCAAAGGCCAATCAGGGCTCCAAAGTGAGAGAGCAAATCATGTTGTCATAATCCAATAACAGCTTACACAATCATACCTCGGAAATAATGCAGTCACTAACATTTTAATAAATACTTCAATATAACGCATATGGAAGTGCCATCTTTGATTCATTTGTCAGTCAGTCACTGACTTTGGACCTTTTAAACTTCTTTTCTCATAAACTGAAAAAAGGACACCGAACACAAAATCACGGGCTGAAAACTTTGTTTTTGTCATCTTTCTCTTTCTCGAACATGCTGGTGATCACTCTGAATCTGATCATGGCCTGGAGAATCTCTCTTTAATGGGTTTTGTTTTGTATTGTTTTCTCACTGCTAGCTTTAATGGGTTTTTTGTTTTCTCTCAAAAAAGCCTATAGTCACAGACTCACAGATATCACCTCTCTGTCTCTTTCTCTTGCTCAAACCAAAACAAGCCCCACCCCACTCACCCCCCAACAAGTTAAAAAAAAAAAACAGGGAGATAATCAGATAAGGAGAGAGCTTGTCTTCTT